AAAAATGATTCTAATGATGTCTAATTGCAAGCCTATTTTTGGGAGTGTCAAAAATTTCTTTAAAACTTCTAAAAAAAACTCTCACACGTCTAGTGACAAACTTTTCAAAATAAAACATTGCTATATGTTTGTAAAGTTAAAAATATAGTTTAATAAATTGAAAGACTAGAAAACTGAAAAAAAATTCAAAATGACATAGATACAAACGATGTATACCGCTGTATGATCAATTTTATTTTATTGTTTATTTAATTTCGCGATATATAAAATTTCTAGAAAAATACACGCTTTTAAAATAACAGAATAAATGCGACAACTCAATTTACATGTGTCCGACGAAAACCTTGTGAAGATAATCTTTGTGATAATTAATAAAGATTCACATATTTGATAATTTATAATCTACAAAAAAAAACTTCAGTCTTCTTACAAATTTACACTCCATTGTGTCGGACGCATTACAAAATTAATTCGTTTCAATTTTGCTCGATTTCTCGCTTGTGACGTCATCAATTAATTTAGTTATAATGCGGAAAACCAGCAGAGCTTTTAACACTTTAAAATCCGTTCACAAAGCGATTGTATTCCGTAATATCTCGATTTTTACAATTGGGTCGCCAAAACGGTACATTTCGGTCGAGGGTGAAGAACTGGGTCGTATCGATCGGCAGCGAGCCCTCCGTCGTCGAGTGTAACCTTCAAATAGAATTGTTACCTCGGCTCAAGCTAGCGCATCGACAGCGAAACGACAGCAGATCGAGCCTGACACGAACGGAAATATGTGAATTAATAAAAAGGGGCGAGCGGTCGCTTTAGTCGAGCGACTCGAGCACTGCATTTCGTGAGTTCAAAAGAAAAACTGATTGCACGCCTGTCGACTGGTAACTTATATATATTAATTAAAATATATTAATTATTTTGTTTATTGTATCACACTACAATCTTTGATAAAATAATTAGAAATGAAAAAGTGGAATCATTGCCAACAGATTAAAAAGAAACATTTATATGACATTCTAAAATTCAAATTTTCTTATGTGTGAAAAATGTCCAGACACTATAACTACATGCACATCCATATTATAAATATCGTATGTGCCACCTCGTAAAGACCTTGAGCGACGGATTAAAGATCGCGCGTACGATATCTGAATATCTCACACGGCTAATTGAATTTGTCGAAAGATCCACGGTGCTTGGAATAATCTGGACAAACGAAAGGTCGTATTTCGAAATAACATGCCTTGTGAAACTTGGTTCGCAAAGAACTCTCTTTTTTTTTTTTAGTCAACATTCTCGCTCTTCACGGCGTTTTCACAATTTTGCTAAGAAGGCATCCACTTGAAGTTTATCGGAGAATCTCATTAAAATTGAGGTTACGAGTCACAGAATACCTTTCGTCGCGATACGTCGCAAAAGGAAAGATCATCCCTTTTGTCTATTAAAGAGCATAATATACGACGTCGCGTGCGACGTGATGTGAGCAGAACGCGTGGCTCGCGTTCTCTCTCGATACAAGCGGAGGGGACACCTTGAAAAAAAATAAAAAAACAATTATTTGTGAATTATTGAAGACATTTTCTTTACTCATTTGTACACGCATTTGTTCGAGAGATGCAATAAATATATTTTACAAAACAAAAAATATTTTTTTTGTTTACTTGGTGCAACCAATGACATGTGTACGGATGAATAAATAAATGAAATATATTGATTGAGTAATTTACGAGTAATTATTTGATTATTCTTAATCAAGAATTTATTAAGAGTGTAAGAATGTAATAATCTGTTATTGTTATAGTTTATATCGCGATACCAAGATCACGATCAAATACGATGAAATCTTTCAGTGCCGGATTTAAACTGTGCTGTTAAAAAAATAGTGCACATTTTTTATTATACTCATAACAAAACAACCAAGATTTTAATTTTCATAAAAAAATAAATAAATGCACAACCGTAAGATCTCTTATTTCATTTAAAATCATATATAATCGGAATTATTACCGGAATTTAAAACTTCAACATTAAATCACTATTTACTAATCGTAAAGCATTACGAATGAAAACATGTAATTATTTCTTTTTTCTTGTGTAATCATAAAAAACATAAATCTGTTACACTTATCATGCTTCTTGTTTACAAAGATCTTTCCACGTTTATCGTTGAATACCGACCGACCATTTTAAAACTCGTGCTTGGTGTCGATTAATCTCTTCGTAAATTTACGACACGCCTACGTAACACACATCGCAGTATTTAGAGTTCAGACCTATCGTTCGCGCGACTCGCTATGTACACAAGTGCTATCGAAGTTGCTTTCTTATCGACGAGAAAAGCGTCGAATGCGCGATTGCGATGGAAATGCAAGTTGCAAAAAAAAAAAAAATAACATGGATAAGTGTGAAACTCGGAATCGCATTATAATCGCGACTTTTAACGTCGCCTTTTTTCATGAGATTACATAATACCTTTGAGAATTCGTCAACATACAATCACGATTCTCGAGACTTTTAGGGCTTCGCGCCTATGCGCGGCGTATGTAACCCGTCGTTTCCGGTTCCAAACACGGAGCAATCAGTGTGTGAATCGCGAAGACCGGTTTCTCAAGGTCGACGAAAACCCTCCGCTTGTATCGAGAGAGAACGCGAGCCACGCGTTCTGCTCACATCACGTCGCACGCGACGTCGTATATTATGCTCTTTAATAGACAAAAGGGATGATCTTTCCTTTTGCGACGTATCGCGACGAAAGGTATTCTGTGACTCGTAACCTCAATTTTAATGAGATTCTCCGATAAACTTCAAGTGGATGCCTTCTTAGCAAAATTGTGAAAACGCCGTGAAGAGCGAGAATGTTGACTAAAAAAAAAAGAGAGTTCTTTGCGAACCAAGTTTCACAAAAATAAAAGCACATTCTTCACTTAATCTTAGACACGAGAAAAAATCAATTCCAAAGTTATTAAAAGAGTGTCCGAAAAATTTCAAGACACGTTGTATATCACGAAAATAAAACTGTTTCACTAAGTTGAAACGTAAAGCGATGTCATGTAAAAACAAAAGCGTTTTAATTGCGTCTTGGAAACCAGAAAGATAAAAGATCTGATTTTTTTATACTTTATATCTTCAATATTTGTTTTCTCTTGTTCTCTCTCTAATGTCACTTGAAATGCAAAAAGTCTAAAGTCCGCTTTAGACGAGTTTTGTAATGCGCAACAGAATTCGAGATAGAAATCTATTTCTAGTTAAAATTTGTTTATTATTTATTCGCGTGAGTGTTGCATATATAATTTCTAAATATGTGATTGTGTGAAATGCTTTGTGAATAACACAGAATATAAATAAAATTCTATCTCGAATCTGTTTTTTTTCCCTTACATGTAATAATCTGTACTTTCTTTCAACATTTACTTCTCTCTCTCTCGCTCTCTTTCTCTCTCTCTTCGTCTAACGTATATATCAATGTGTGTCGATTATATACCTATTTTCAGAGTAAAAAGTGTAGCATAATACAAATAAGAGAAACGGACATTCAATAACGTTTGAAAACGACGTAGTTAGGTGTATAACACGACGAGGAGTCTTGTAACGTCATCTCAGCTGTGACTCGATTCCCAAATGATAAAAAAAAACCTGCGTTTTTTCCCTACGCCACGACATACCACGATTCGATTACATAACGAGAAAATTGCGAGGAAAACGCCGAATGCCGAGGTTGCCGAAGGAAAGAGCATCTCCAAACACATATAGCGTTTTCGATTATACAGGATTTGAACGACCCAGGGTTGGTTAATGACGTCATTGCAACCTCTCCACCAATGAAAGACTTGCATTTATAGTAAAATAGTGATTGATCAACCCTAGATCGTTCAAACCCCGTTTATTCGAAAACGCTAATAGTTTCGCTTCGAATGGACTTTACGCTCCTCTCGTTTACGGTGATAACGTTCACAAAAGGAGCGATAACCGTAAGATGCGTCAGTAGTACCAGACGATACGAATCTTATCCCGCCTTTTTTGCAGTCACGCGAACACGTAACGGAGAGAAACTCACTCGGCTCCTAAATCCTCTTACGTATCGAGCAAAAAAAAGTGTGCCTTCCTCACTTCCTCAATAAAGCGTTAAAAGTCGTATATCACGTGACATTAACGAGATTAACGAGGGAACGATGACACTGTTCCGCGCAATTCATCGAGAAACGCGCTGCACTAACCTGTCCTTCGCGAACGCGAGCGCTCACTAACATTCGCTCCGCACACTAGCTGCGAGTGATACGCCAAGCGACGACGATGTTTACGAATGCAGATCTCGTCACACTGTTGACACACACACGCACGCACACTTGTCTCTCGCGTGAGCACCGCGCATTCAAACGGGCACGGCGATGCTGCGAGAGACATGCAAAAGAGCTCTCTTCTCGTATTCCCGATTCGTAAACGTCTATCCTGTGACGCGCAATGTGCCGCTTATCGGCGATCACCAGTGACCGATTTCGAGTCTCGCGGGCATCGATCGTCACGGTCGCCGTTGAAATGTGCACTGACTGAACGCCGCATCCTTTCGTTAGCACACCGTTCATACATAGGCCGCAGGCAATTAAAACGGTGCCATCTGGTGCGCGAAGCAAGAAAGTTTGCGACAAACACACATGATCGCGCTCAATCGGTACGCGTGCATATCCGATGCTGCGATAAGGCGCGATAGGTACTAATTTCAATAGTTTTCACATAAACAAATATTTGACTTGTTTATGAGTATTGAATATGCAAGTAGAAATTAAAATTTCGCATGCATTGTAGTCGATACATTGCTAATAGTGGAAGAAGCGACTAGCATTTCACGAGCTGCAACGTTCGGAAAAAAAAAAAATAGAAACACAGATCGCTTATCTGTGCGTTATCGGCTTGAGCCACATTCGTTGGTTATCTCGATGCATACCTGTTCCCGACAATAAGACTAAACAAACATTAGTGCAGTTTAATTATAGGGCGTTACTTACTTTGCGACGATGCTTGTGACTGATGGTGCGCGGCTGCTCTCTGAAACAGAAAAATGAGCACAAAATTATTCGGACTGATGTGTTTGTCGCGAAAAGAAATTTGGTTCGCTATCAAATATCTAATAATAGTTATGTGTACTTCGTAACTTCCATGCCGCGTCAATTGACTATGTAAATACATGCCTATTTACTGAAATTACAACGCGCAGAATTACGCAGTACGCAGTTGAGAAACTTAGTACACATAAATTACTTTATTTTATTTCACTATAATTAGTATTTTTGCACTAAATTACACCATTTTTATTTTGCAATTATACTATTTGCAAATCAGCTTTTTTGTATTTATACATCTTTTTTTAATTTTTATTTTCTTTTTATTTATTAAGTATTTCTTTCTTTCTCGACAATTATTCGTTTTTTGTTGGTGCTGCAATTTCAATAGCAGCGTACAAATCTAATTATAAGGCGAATCGATATTGAAAATAACGGAGCGACTAGTATGTAATTATTGAAAGAAAATTGGTTTATGTACGTTTTGCAAGATCAGTCGGATACCCGATGCCTCGAGACTCTTGGCGTCTAAGGAGCGGCTTCTCGGTTTCGCACCGAAGGAATCATCCTTCTTGCCGCTCTTTATCCATCGGAAGTACGAAGACATCTCGGAATCCTCGGCTTACCGGCCTTTAAACTTGCCGTCGATCGATCGCACAAAGAAATGATCAAAGTCGCGTCATCCGTAATCGCTTGCGTACTCTGTTCGTCGATTAACACGAGACTCGTCCGTAATTTCCTAATTACAAACACGCGCACTTTACGTAAGATCTGCACGAAAGGGGAAAATCTCTCGCGCAACTGTGGAATCTGACCGATTGGCAAAAACTCGTTCTTCCCACATCCTCGACGTTTTCGTTTTCAAGTCTTTTCAAGTCTTTTTTTTTGAATGCCATGTAATTAATACGAATTTCATGGCCGCAACGTAACGCGAACGCGTATTATGCCGTCTTGTCTGCGTGATAAAAAGAACGATTACTAATACGATGTGGCCCATATGCTACAGGTGCAGCACACATTGTATCAGTTATTGAATTGCTTTGAATGTCTTACGAATAATTACGAGCGACATCGCTCTCTCTCTTTTTTTCTGTTTTTTTTTCTCTAAGATTGTTATTTATATTTTCTTTTTTCAAATTAATCGCAATACACGGAATCTTCCACTTCTTAATTTTATCTAGCTTTTCATTTAGCTTCCACTTCTTAATTTCATCTAGCATTTCATTTAGCTCTTTAATCGCGATTAATTAATTAAATTTCAGAATAACGTCGGTGCGTTTGATACTCTTAATAAAATTAAATTGTAAAACTCTTATTATCCGAAAAAAAAAAAAAACTGTTTTCTTGCGTCAGTCAATAAAAAAATTCTAATATATGGAATTTGTTCGAGATAACCAGTAACGCGACAGTTGTTATCGCAATATGAAAAGCGTGCTGTAAACAGCTTGAGATTTTTCCAATGCAAATTTCGTATTGTCGGTAACCCTCCGTGACATTACATTAAGAGTCTTACAAAAGGCTGCATAATTTACAACGAAAAGACCAAAATCTCGTCTAGATCGCAGTGGTGAAGCGAGAATTGCTAATCTTTCAGATTCTATTAAGTGTTGTCAAATTTTTTGAATAATTTTTTGACAATATAGAAGATAACCAAAAATGTCAGTGAAACTATTTGGCTTTTATCTAAAAATAAATACATAAAACCGAAAAAATTGAACAGTGTTCTCTTTTAGTGCAAGAAATCTATTATTTTTATTAACATAAAGTATCATGTAAAATGATATAGTAAAACAATTTTACATTTTTTGTTAGAGTTAAAAATAAGTACTTCAAAAAATCACGCGCAGACTATTAAAAACATTCTTTAGTGCATTTTATTATCAAAGTATTATCTTGCACGAACAACTGACTGTGACGTTTTTGTCCTTCTCTTTGTGTTTTAGAATATTTTATTTTTGAAAAACATTTAGTTTCGAAAAACGTTTAGTTTCGAAAAAACGTTTTAGTTTCGAAAAACGTTTAGAATTTTTTAGACAACAATCACTCTAAAAGTTTTTCACTGTTTTACATTTTAAAATACATTTTACAATTTACATTTTTAAATAGAAAATTTATTATTAAATTACTTTGTGTAATATTGTCTACTGTATATATTAATAAAAGTGAGAAATTTCTTGTGTAAACACTCAAAACTATTTAATTGTATTCAAATATTTCCAAATAACAGTCACATAATTTCAATGACATTCTCACTGTCGTCTCTCAATTTGAACAATTCTGAAGAAGCAATACTTATATGACTTCCAATATCTCGTAAATCGTAGATTGAATATGTCAAAAATTTTTCAATCGATTTTAGTAGAAACTTTTGTCGAAAAATCGATAATTTCCGACTACTTTCGTGTGTAGTAAGAAAAATTTTAATTCGTGGCAAATTGTTTTCTCCCGCTTTGCAACGATTCTTATTGATGTTGATTTATTTCCTCGATTTCCATAAGCTAATTGGTGTACCACGCACTACTTAGAATATAACAAACGCGGTCACTCGCGGTTTTTTTTATTACACATGTTCAGTCTCGCAAATACGGCGAGTTACTGAGTAGAAAACGTATCTCTTTTCTGCTACTTGACACACGTACGTACAATACCTCCCACTAATAGCGGTACTAAACTGCACTCGTCATACTCTTTCGAAAACAGCCGAGACACCTGCTTCCGACAAACCGTACAAACATCGTAGATCTATAAACCGCTGATCGCGCCGAGTCATCTTTTCGTAATACACAGGCGCCTTTTACCCTATTACTTATTCAAACATCAAATAATTGCACACAATAGAAGCCTACTTTATATTAGTCATTTTAATTCTTAGTTGCTAAGATTTTAAAAATCGATATAAAAATTGTGATAAAATTTTTTAGAGAAATAATTTTGTTGAAAGATATCACTGTCTTTCAACAATTTGATACTTTTTTACGAAATGACTGTGTATATTAGAATCAATTTACGTTGAAACGAGACATTTAAAAAAATGTAGAATTGCATATGCAAACGTATTGATGCATCTATATGTAAATAGAGTCATTTGATTGTTCTCCGAATTCTATAAACATGTAAATAGGTTCGTTTGATTCTCCTAACTATATAAAAATATCAAGATGAAGATATCGAAAAGAGAGAGAGTGAATATTTCTTATTGAAATATTTTATATTTATAAGAACATGTAAAACTTAAATAAACAGTTAATAGGAAATTAAACATTTACAGATTAATAATTTCTTTTATCATACAAAAAGCAAAATATAATCTTAAAGTTCGAGCCGTTATTTTAAAATCACCCTTATAATTATAAAAAATCATTTTGGCATCTATTGATTAATATATTTACATTTATAGATGATCAAAAGCACAATCTACTTCAATGCATCCGGCACGCTTTTGATATATACATGGGCATGTGTGTTGATAATTTTTTATCAACTTTTTTCCCTAGATTTAATAATAATTGCACGCGCTATATCATTTGACGATATAAAATTATTCATTTTGAATACTCGACAGATAATCAGTTCATTTTGAACTGATAAGAATCTTTCGATAGTAGAAAACGCTTTTGCCTACTTTCAACCAAATACGACCGCTCTAGTGCCGTCGGTAGTGAATGAAAAATATCACTTACCGCTTTCCGCTTGTCCTCCGCACTCAAGGCACTGTGGCTTCTGTGCCTGATGAGATCCATAACTTTGCTTACAGGATTCCGGCTGCTCTCGGATCCAGCTCTAGGCCGTCCACCCTGTTCCTTATTCTCCTTCTGCTCCTTTTGGGTTTCTTTATGATGCTCCTTCTCCGTATGTACATCCACCGATGAGCTTCCATGCGATCCTCTATGCAAGGAATGCTAGACAATAATACGACAAAAAAATTAATAACATTATAATATGTATATACACTATAAAATTCTATAAAGTATAGACTTTCCATCAAGTTTCAACTAATATCATAAACTATTTTGAGTATATGTTTTTCTTATTTAAAAAAATAATATATTATGCATTAGATTTCCTAACTAATATAAAATAGAATTTTCATCGACAAAATTATCATTATTTATATGCTATCTTCAAATTTTTGACTAATGTTTTTATAATAAACCTAACTAAACTTTAAATTAAAGTTTTATTTAAATAAAGTCTATTTAAAACTAATTAAAAAATATAATAGATCTTATAATCTATTTGTGCCCCTAAAGCTTACAAGTAGTTTACAAAAATCTCTTTTACATTACTCGGAACTTTAAATTATATTTCAAAAACTGTTGGTGTCTAATTATTTTTAAAAAATAAACTAAAATTATCGAGATATCTGTCATTAAAATTAATATTGCGTTTTGCGACATATATATGTATATATTATAGTTCAAAATTCCGGGAAAGTTCCCGGAAAATTCGGGAATTTTTCCAAAATTTTTGGGAACTTTCTCGGGGCTTCAAACTATAATGTATATCACAACACATATACATATTGAACATACTTTATAGTGTAGTGTACTTCTTCATAAAATTCTTACTATCGTATTGTTTAATTTAATGATATCGCAATTAAAATGATTTTCAGTACACGTTTCGATAACTATTTTATTTTACCTGAACGGCACTTTTCATATTGGCTATAATACTGGGTTTCCTCTTGCCGGCATCTGATTTGCTCCTCGGTCTAAAGGCATCAAACAGTGCCGGCTTCCTCGTAGGGCTGGCAGTGTCATCTGCACCGCCACTTTTTCTACGTTCCGCACTATTGCTGCGACTATTACTGCGACTGGTGGAGCCGGACCGAGTGCTGGAAGTCTTTCGACCACCTTTGCCGGAACTCGACGAGCTCGACGGTTCTGTCGGCTGCGGAAGAGGAGTCGATTTTCCGGAACTGGGCGCACTTCCATAAGACGGCTTTTTGATAATCTTCGAATGCGATCCCCATGTATCTGCAAATTTAAATATTCCAATGTACTCGCAGATATATCATCGCTCTCCTCTTTATTTACTCAAATAAAAGTGTATGATAATTTTCAAACATTATTCAATCTTTTTTTTTTCTAAAATTTGCCAGCTGTTAAAATTTACTGCTTTTTTCAATTTATTTTGTTCTATATTTATACATATTATTTTTTGTCTCTTTTATTAACGTAGATTATATTTATTGTTACAAGCAAACGATTTATTTCTTGTTGATAAATAAACAGCAATTACATAATACGAATTTCTTGGTATAATATCGTTTAGGCGACTCGGGAAAAAAAGGTATAATACTGTGCATACATAACTGTCAATTATCAATTTACCTGCTCGTGGCCTGTGACCCTGAGAAGCATGACCAGAATTATCCGCGTCCTCGGTCACGATTGTTGGAAGCGGTTGCGAACCAAGCTCCTGAAAGGAAGAAAATACCATTGCGTTTAAAGACACGATCGATTGAATTGTTAAAATGCAATCTCAAACATCGGCAATTTCTCAGAACTTTTAATTACTCCATGAATCACAGTTATTACAAACCGTACATTGAAGATGGTATGCAGCGGGTGATTAGATATCGCTGTTTAATCGCACGATAGTCGATGATAGCGCGCGATTATATTTACATATGGTCTTATATTTATGCAAGCTCTTCTGACGCCTCAAAGAGTGCACAGTAAGATATTCTATTCACAAAATTTTGTATTGTTATATTATTTTTAAAGTGAGAAAGAGAGAGAGAGAAAAAATTAAATCGGGTCATAGCCGGTCATTCTAATTACATAATAATGCATGTATATTTGGAATTCTTCCAACGAAGGATCTATCTGGAAAATATCCAACGAGCAGCACGATCGTTCCATTTTGCGCGCATTTCCCAAAGTGTTTAACACTTACAAGTCGGTATCTATTTCCGTTCTGTTATTTAGCCAAGTGCAAACCGTACTGTGTAATAGATTATAAATCATATGTTGTCAGCAGGAATACGTCAGTCATTGTGAGTGCAATCACTATCTCGAATCCTATTTGTTTAAAAGAAGAGGGAGAAAAAAAAGAATAAGGAAAATAACATTCTACTAAAGATGACAACAACTTTTAATGCTCAATTTATACAAAATGTCCCAAAACTGACAACTTTAATAACAAATTTCCGTTAGCCCTGAATCGATTTTTTCTTAAAAAAATGTTATTTTTTTCGTAACTTTCTAATTTCTTGTTTAGATTTTACTAAAGAATATAATTTTCTAATCCATTTGACTTCCTAGAGTTTAGTTCGCAAAAAATCTATGTTTCTAAATCGTTTTTAAATCAAAAGTTATTAGCGCTTTCATATTCTCTCTAAGAAAAAATCGATTACGAATTAGCGAAAAATGTTCTTGAACAGATCAGTAATTTTGAGGCATCCTGTATAAGCCGCTGCTGCTACCATCTCTGAGAATGCACAGAGGTATTTTATTTTTGTCTACGAATCTTCTTGGCCTCAACCCTGAATAAATTCTCCGCAAAACTTTTTCAAACAGTTTTAGAAGCATTCTCATTATATCGCACATTCATATGCGCGACATTTCGCAAAAATACACTTATTCACGACATAAAGTGTCGTAAATTATCGACAGACAAGCATGAAAACAACAAATTATTGTGAATCGTGCAAAATTGCGCGAAATAACAAATTGCTACGTAAGGAGATACCGATGGGCACCATCAGCGGTTGTTCGTTACGCACATTCACGTGAATTCCCGCGGAGGACGCAATAAGGGAAGTCGAAGAAGGGCGGCGACGGGACGGCGACCTTCGAAAGATTCTCATCTTCATTTTCTCCCTTCGCCATTAAACTTTCATGTTTGTAAACTCTTGTTTTATGCAAACTTTCGTTTTTTACAACGTTGCCGCGATATCAGTTGCACGAACGAAATTGAGAAGTGTACAGTACAGCAGTGTACACTGCCTTAACATTGCGTAAACTTTATTTTTCAGATCTTTGACGAAGAATCTGAATATTGCGTATGACTCGAGATAGAATTCAACTTCTCAGTGTGTCGGCGATTATAAAAATATTTTTTCATTACGTAACAAAATATTTTGCAACACATTTATTCTTAAAAAGTAAATGTTTTCCGTGATTGTAGAATTTTACAAGTAGTTTGTAAGAAAATATGTGTTTTATGATACTTGAAATGTGATTTGCACCGTTTTGTGCAAGTGACTCAGATCATTGTTCAAAACAAAAAAGTTCAATTTTTTCAACTTTTTACAAAATTTCTAATATTATTATAATGCAGATCGATGTAATACAAAGTAAATAACAAATTCAATTTTCCGAGACTTTTTACTTACAATTAGTCCACTTTTATAATTACTGGCACAAATCTTCCACGAAAAACGGTCTGTTTTTGAATTTATTATCTCAGTTGGCCTCGATTGTAAGAAGAGAAATACTCGATACCTTATAAGTTCCATGATACTCTGGATAGCGATCGAGATACGGCACCAAGGAATACTTCCGTACCCGCCCGAGAGACACCGACATCTTTTCACAGTTGAATGGAAAACAATGCACGTCTCAAGTACTCAAATGCCGCACGAATTGTCCATTGAGATGTCGACGCTGAGTAACAAGTGTTCCGACAATGAATATCCGATATTTCGTGGTCATTATCTTTTTCACGCCTCGTTATCGATAACGATTTCCCTTCAAGAGACGACGGTCATCGCTCGTTTCAGAATAATCGCCCGTCTTTATCGTGTCAGTTTGCGATAGTTGCAACAATCTTCAATATTTTCTAGAACGCTCTTGTCATTGTTTAAAAATTTTCATTTAAATTCAATCAAGCGGCGATAAGAATTGCATCAACAAAATTTTCTTCGAACATTCTTATCGAAGATGTTTTCTTCTTTTAATTCAATCCATAATCCCACGTTATTTATACACAACTTACAACGTTAATCTTGGAAGCGATTAAATACAAAAAGCATTCATCATATCCGCTCACTAGCAGTTACATATCTCGATAAAAATTTGTCGAAGAAATAGGATAAGTAAATATCTATTTATGTCAGTGATTAATGTGAGTGGTACAAATCATGTATTTTTTTCTTTGGAATATTTCGATTTTTGCGTTTGAGTAAAATAAAAAATATTATTTTCGTGATTTAAAAAAAGTCCAATATATTTACTTTCCCATTGTAATTTAACAAAATAAAATTAATAAAATTTATTTAATTTTTATTGATAAACTAAATTTTTTCCGACTTTTTTTACCCACTTTTATAATTGCTGACAGGTATAATATGAACCTACATTACGATCGATATAAAAAATTCGCAATACAAAAACCGCGCTTAGATTTCAATGTTGACTGATGGCGACGTGAGTGGTGACGAGATTGAATTAGAGAATTCAGAGAATCGCGCCGGACGCAACTCTCCGATGCCGAACACTGGCATTGCCAGTAACATGTTCCCTGGACAATTGTCATAACGCCCGTTATCATCGTCTTACTACCGAGATAAATTCCGTGCATCTGCGTGCCTTTTTATCGAATCTTATCGCGATAACTAGCATGCTTACGTGTAAAAATCTTATCGTTGGTTTTGCCATTTATAGCGACGGCGTTAAAAGCGGAAGTGTACTGACAATTATACAGTGGTCGATGCTAGATATCGTATGCGTTACTTTTCGCAAAGCTAAATAAATTCGCTTTTTTTTCAAATCCCAAAAAGAATTTTTAACAAAATCCAATTTTTCTCATAAGTATCATAAATATTCGTATAACAAATTGTCGAATAAAAAACGCGTATATCTATTTATAAATACAAATAATAGCAATCAATTATCGCATTGTTTTTTATTTTAGCAAGAATTTTAATCGCATAAAAGAGAGAAAAGTTTTCCGTATTCAGAAATCCTCATTTAATCGCATGTCGGGTAATTAATGTCATTAATTAAGTGGATTTACTCGTCATAAAATGCTTGTCTTTGACAATTAAGTCACTTTAATAACAATCGTTCTGCGATAATTCCGAAAATAAGATCTCGCAATCCGCAAATTATTGTAAAACGTGACATAATTATTTACATTCAATTTGTATAACTTTGTAGAAAAAAGTATATTTCTCTTATTTCAAAAAATTACTTAAAAAAAATATTTTTTAACATTATTTTGCATTTGTTTAAAATAGAAAGCAATGCAAATCGCAAAAAAATCAAAACTGCAATTTTTTTACTTTTTTAAATGCTAATATTTTTACAATTGTATTTTTTTATGCCATAAAACTAATTAATAAATCATCAAAAACATCTACTTAATTAGCAAACGATAAAATATAGAACACATTCGCGCGCAAAATTTTATAATTTAACTTTCTTACGCAAATATTTTTGACGTGACTTTCGATATTGCGGTAAAACTAATTATTAAAAACAATTATTTCATTATTTACCGGCAAACAATAATAAAAACTGATATAAGAAATGACATAAGAAATTTAATAAAAACAGACGATAAACAGATGATAACAGACTCTTTGCGTTTTCCGCATCGGCAATGTGCGTTAAAATTGGCATGTGACGTAAGAAAATTATTATGTTAACTGTCACGTTCAGATTAAGACTCGCTCGCATTGCACACAGAATGTAAGTATAACTGCTATTTTTGTATTATACAAATCGAATAAAATCGTGAAACCTTGCAAAATTCACTAAAAAATAGATTACATTGAACGGATAAACTACAGAGTAAAGATTGTGATCTTGATATACGATTTAATTTGTATAAATAAATAATTATTTATAAATACAGCTAAGAAATGGCTAAAAATCTAAGTCTAATATGCTTATTAAAACGATAACAGTTGAGTTTTAGAACTTTTACAGATTGCTTTGTTGTCATTAATTTTTTTTGCTATAGTATGATAATCAAAATGTTGTTAAAACTATTTTTTGGCTATTATTTGGAATTAATAAACGCATAGAATGGAAAAAGACAAATAGTTTTTAGTACAATAAAAATCTCTTATTTTTCTTAGCATAAATAACTAGAATTATATATATTTAACAAAAATCTTACACTTTCCTCTGATGTTACATTAAAAATAAGTATTATCAATCAAAGAGATAAAAAACAATTTCACACAGACTTTATGAAAAATTATTCGCAATATTACTATTTATTAAGATACTAAAACGCACTTTTTTTCAAGTGTTTAGATTTTTGTCTTATTTCAAAGATCAATTACTTTAAAGAAATATTTTTCAACATTATTTTGCATTTGTTTAAAATAGAAAATTCTTATATTAAATTACTTTACATAATTTTATACACGTTAAATATGGCGGATTTTTTTGTATCCAAAACTATTTAATTTTTCTAATTCTATTTGCTTCCAAATAACATTTCAAGATTAAGATAAATATTTTCAGCAACATTTCTAATTGTCACCTCGTACTTCCTATGTACTGCACTCAAGAGACAGTAGAACACGAAATGTCTATTCGTCATAAACACGCATCGTAATTCCTCTTTCGAATGAGTAGACCTTTCGAATCGATAGAGCTTAAAGGAAGCCTTGTACCACTTCGCTTCAGCGAGACGATAGAGCTTATATCGGGATCTGGGACAAACGTTATGACGGTTCAGAAACGGTAAGAACCGATGTTCTTTTTGTTATCTGATCAGTTATGAAAATTGGATATTAATAGTCATGCGAAGATCGTCTGCATTTACTGCAAAAATAATCCAAGACTCGCGATAGTTATATCTGCATTAGACTCGTTCTGTGCTTCCAGTGATTTCCTATACCTTATGCATAATACATTTGAGAGAGAAAAAGAGAGAGAATATTTCGCAATGGCGATTTTATGTGGTATTCGACAAAAAGATGCTAAAAGTCGCGAGAAAAATGCTCTCACAAAAATGCCAGAACTCTAATCTATGCGGTGACGTGTTAGACGAAAAGACGGAAAAGCAGATGGACGAGCAGTTTAATCGACAGTTTTTAAACGTCGCAAACAATACCTGAAACGGTCGTTCACCCACGCAATCTTCCTTTCGTCGTTTCGAAACGAGAATGTACGGAAGCGTGTCATTGTGAAAGAGCGCTCCTATTTGTGCAATAATGATGCACACGCACGGCATCAACGGTGTTTTAATAAGATATTGTCGGAAAAGTGCAATTTTCGTTTCGTTATAACACTGATGCGAACAATCGTTAGCAATTGAGAAGAAAACAACGAGCGAGCAATTCACGAATGGAACGACAACGATCCATTATTTGTACGATCCGCTTTCGCAAGAATTGATACGCCGTAAACAAATTTGTGGAACTGCCTCTCCTCGCGACAATTGGTTAATTGGTGCAATTATAGGATGGAGAACAAATAGGACGCCGAGAGACGCCGACGCCGAGACGCCAATGAGGCGCGACTGTGTACATTATCATTAGCTCTTCGACCCTTAAAAAGGGATAACATATAAAAACAAAACCATTACGCACATTCAATCAATATTTTCCTATCAAAAAAAAACTCAGAACTAAAACATTTGTTCGAAAAAAGATGATCTTTTTACAAGTAATTAAAATGATCGTAGGAATATTTTTCCAAAGTTTTGATTTCTCCAAATAAAAAAATATTATTTTTATGCCTTCAAATATTTTTTTAAATAAGTGCACCTTTCATTAATAAATGAATAGTCATCAGCCTCGGCTTAATATAATTCAAGAAAAAAGATGACAATTATTTTTTTTATAAAATAATATTTTTATATTCAAGATAATTTGAAATGTGTAAGTTTGATTCACGCAAATAAAAAATTGCGTTTAATTCTGCGGTTAAAAATGTTACAAAACGTCTCCTTTGTGTAAAACGATCCGGAAATAATATCGGCAAGAATCTTTTTCATTCTATACGATCTCCTTAATATCGCTCGGATTGTAATAATTGAGACAATAATTCACTCACCCGTCGTTTTCTCTCCTGCAAGAAATCCATTCTGCGTATCCACACCTCCTCCGTAGAATCGTAATCAAGAGTGCTGGTACTGCTCGCTTGGCTCTTCATCTCGATCAAGCTGCTGTCGAAGAAGCGCTTGTCGAGATGCGGGCTGGGCAACGGGCTGGTCCTCGAAAAGGTCATGCTGGTAGAATATGACGGCGGGTCCGTAGCGGGAAAAGTCATGCCGGGACCGGTGGTGTGTCTCCTCCGTAATGGCGGTTTCGTCGTCGAAGTCGGCGACGTCACCGTTGACGTTGTGAACCTACCGGTCGTCGTCACCGAAGTCGCCGAGCTTGTTGTCGATGTTGTCGTTGTCATCGTCGTCGCTGTCGTCGTCGTGGTTAACGACGGCGATGGTGGCTTTGCGTCCGAAACGCTGGATGTTGGCAAGGACTTCTCGTCAATCTTTTCTGAACTGGAATTCTCCGAGGACGATGGACTCGATGCCTTCGACGTTTTTGACGAACCACTGTCGGCTTTCTCAATTTGCGTCCTAGACACATCTTTCTTACTGTCCACGCTTGGACTGTCGTTGTTCTTCCCTGCAAAATGACAGCACTGGTGACTGAAATTTCCGAACGCAACGTGTAACGTGACGAAGCTTTCGTTATCCGATTCGCGCTGTGTGGGAAGTCCCAAGGTCAAGAAGCGTCACAAAGGCGCATCTGTGACCTGGTTGAAAAATTTTTGCAGTGCATTCACAATTGTATAAACGCGAATAAAAACTATCCTTTGCAAACATGCTTGCGAAATAAAAATTTATCGTCGTTAAATTATTTACAAAAAATCAATATGTTCGATACAATTATAATCTTCTTACGCGAAGAAGTGAACTCCGTCGCGATATTTTGATGTTTAATATATCTGATTATGTCCTTGCAAATGGTCAAGGATTGTTCCAGAGAACGGAAGGAGAGAGAAAAAGACACTGTTATATATATACTTAAACGATCGTTACTTAGGTAGAGTGACTTTTCGCGCCGCACGTTGCCAAACGCGAGCACGTCGGCTAATCTTAGCTCTCATTGGACGAGCTTCTCGTAATAGCTTATATTTCGCAATGGTACGGTTTTCTCATAATTGTCCGTGGAATTCAGTCCACAGACAATGCTACTTTTCAAAGATCAAACTGAAAAGAAGTTCAGATTTGGCAACGTAATGCAAAAATTATTTTTCTCTATTCCAAGTTGTTTTTCGAAAAAGATTGAAACAATCAAAAAATAAACCAATTTAACAAGCAACAACATATTAATCAACCAACTACTGTTGTAAGCCAATTAATTTCAGAAATAAATTTGCTGAAAACAACCTGCCGCGTTAAATTTTTCAGAATATCATCAACAGTTTTTATCATCTATTTTGACAAATTCTATTCTAAAAAATTTAACGTACAAAGTTCTCAGCAAACTATTGCGTTGTGCAATAACTAATTTCGGGGTTTTCCAATAAATCTGTCTACTTTTTTAGTCAGACAAAGCGCAGTTTGATTAACATGTAAATTAAATATTCGTTTGTCGAAATTGTAATCAAGTTTTGCTCATATTACGATTTTTTAAGCGTGCTATGTGTAAAAAACAATATCATCTATATAAGAAAATCCACTTATTACAAAACTTAATAAAATCTGAAAGTTAATCTAACTCTACACTCTCGGTGTCATTAATTTTATACGAAAAACTTTTCGTACGTTGAGAGAAAAAAGTGCGTGATATTTGAAACTATAATTACACAGTAAAATAATTATAGGAACTACTACCAGAAAGTTAGTAATAATAATCTCATACGCATAGTGCTGCCAACCATATAACCAACATAAAAATGTTAAATTTTAATGATTTTAAATATAAATAAAGTAAAATAGTACGTTTTACAATACAAAAATCTCGTTTTGGAATATAATAACCATACGATATAATTATATAAATTAATATTATAATTATGACCACAGCAGTGTTAAATTAGCTATAATTTGCATAATTAAATACTTATTAAAATATGATTAACGCTGAAATGGAGACAATGGTTACCGCAATCATTTTTTCCCTCGGTGTACTTTAATTTTCGTTCAACTTAATTACCGAAAAGCACCTCGATCCGTTATAAAATAAATTCTCTCCGAAATAAAAATAAAAAACTGGGTCTTCTCTCACCTTCTTCGGTCTCGTACTCGTCCTCCTCACGACACTCGGACAATCTCCTGCCCCAGGGGTAAGGGCTATGTGTCTGGTTCCTCGACGGCAGTCGGTTGACGTGCGACAGAAAGTAATGATGAAAGAAACTGTCCACGCCGTCCGAGTCTTCGCCGGAGGACTGCAGCATATCCTTGAGCGCCGCCAAGGAGGTGATGGTGTTGTAATTGATCGCCGAGACCAAATCATCCTCGATGTCGCTGTCGTCTGTGGTGTCCTCGTTCTTCGACATGCTCTCCTTCGATGTTTCCTCCGTCTTCGTTTCCGCTAGCGTCGTTTCGGCCTCCGTCGTCGTTTCCGGCTTGGACGGCTCCGTCTTGTCTTCTGAACTAGACTCAGACTCATCGTCGCTCGTACTGGTGGACATGGCGTCGCTGGACGATTCCTGCTCCTTCTTCTCGTCGCTCGTCTTCCTCGTCATTGTTTCTTTGCGTTCCTCCTCGTCGGCGGATTCCTTGCTTTTCTCGTCCTCCTCGTCGGCCTCCTCCTCGTCGTCGTCGCCCGACAGCGTTTTCTTTAGCGTCTTCATCTCGTTCTTTAGATTCATGTTCTCCAAGAACTCGCGCTTGTCCTCCGCCTTCATTTTGCGGTCGACATCCGCCTGCCCCGTCATCGAGTCATCATCCTGTTTCTTGTTATCCCCGTTCACGTCGCATTCGTCCGACTCGTTTTGCTTATCATTACCGGTGCTCTCCATCGGGGCGGCTGAAAGAAAAGGCGAGTTATCGCCTTTGATCCCAAGGTCGGTCACTTCGACTTTGCTTGCACTTCGCTTTCTATACCCCGAGTTCTCCCAACATACGCTACAATATTTACTTTTCAATGCACGCAGAATGGTTCGCTATTCGTACAATAAAATGATAATTCTACATAACGATACGTATAAGACGAAAATATACAACAGAATTTTTTACACGTACTTTTCGCTTTAAAAAAAAATTACTGTCGATTAATAAATTTTTTCTTTAATAGCAAAGTTTCGTTCTTGAGAAAACGAGATTTGGAGAATTGTAAAATTTACAATATTTTTTCTTCTTTTATTAGCTTGTTCTTTAACAAGCTTTTCATATTCGGCAATACAATCTTCATATTTTAAATTATTTTAAATTGCTTGAATGACATATTCGTTTTTTATTTATTAATGTGTGTTGATTGCTTTTATCAAGAATTAATGATATCTTTATGCTCTTAGATCTTCAACAATCTCATGCGTCATCCAGCTCTCGTCTCGATAAAAGCTATTAATATATAAATAAAAACGAACAACATATCATTTAAGCAATCTAAGCTAATTTTACCAAAAAAATTATGTGTAAAATGTAAAAATTGTGTTGCCAAATATCAAGAGCTAGAAAACAAGCTTTAAAAAAAGGAAGGATATTATAAATTTTCCGATTCTCCAAATCGTTTTTCTCAAGGACAAAGTTTCGCATTAAAAAAAAAGGAGAAAAAAATGTTCTTTGCTCTAAATTTTCAACTTACTTTCTCGTGTAGAATTACATTCATCCTAATGTGCCATTAACAACGAATCATCCTGTGTAGCGTGTAAGAGCGGAACGCGCGTGTCGCTATAATTAAGGTGTGCGACGTGACGCGATTCGACGATCACGAAATAGAGCGGCGCATACTTACCACCTACTGCAATGCGCCAGCGATGTTGCGCCTATCCCTATAACACATAACACAGAACGTACATTACCTGTAGCTCTCTATACGCCGCGAGTGTCGTGAGCATGCAGTATGCGCGGAAAGAAACGGACATAATTAATCCGACTGACACGCGTGCGAGGGTGTCATCTCGTGAAACATGATTTGATTCACGGGAGGAATCGTGTGTGACTCACGAGATCGCACGTATTGCACGCAAGAGTGAGAAATAACGAGAGGTGATATAGCAACGGAACTTTAGCGGATCTTTGGCCGGACGCCAAAACATGGCTCCGTACGCTTGTTTACCGCGTACTGCCGCGTGACGTAAAACGCTATTCGGCTCGTGAATTGATCTGAGCTACCCGGCAATCGTGGACACGTGATGACGATTCGCGCTAACCAAGCACGAGCGATCAAAGTCGAAAAAAAGCTTTATCACTGATTTCTTTTCAAATAATGTTATACTATCGAGAGAGGAGAAGAGAAGAGAAGAGAAAGAGAGAGAGAGAATTAAATCTCTCTGTTTTTATTGTTAGATTGCAATTTCATGCTGTATAATACTTTATTTTCGTGTCTCTCTTTAAGCTTTGTATACGCACTATGAAAAAAACGCTATAAATCAATGCAATGGAACATTTTGCATTTAGAATCATTAAAATGCTCCACTGCTGAAGCATTAAATGTAACGTACCGGAAAGAAAAATTGCGTCTGTCGTGTTTTTTAAAACACGAAGCTGTATTTTAAGAATCATTGCTATACACCATCGCCACAATTAGACATAAAATGTTAATAAGAAAAATAGTACAAACAGTATTGTCATGCGTACCGTATTTTGTATGGAAAGTGTACAATTGTAAAATTATATTTGACACATTGTATATTATTTGTGGATATTATATCGGCGTTTTATCTCGAAAATATCGCGAGAAAATTCATCGCCATCATCTTATCGTATATGTCACGCAACAAACTGCCAATTTCACAAATACAATGTGCAAAAAGAACAACCGCTACTCGGATTATCACAATTATTATCGTGACGTATGTCCCGTTACATCTGTCGAACATGGCAAAATTCTCTCTCTCTCTCTCTC